AAACTTATTTAGCTCTTTCGTTTCTGTTATTCAATTTTTTTCTTCTGTCACGGATCTTCGGAATTGCGTCTGCGGCATTTCCAGGTTCGACATTGTAAACAGTTTTATCATGTGCAATCGGGAGCTTTGGGTGTGTGTATGAATCATGAATGAGTATAAAACACCTACGTGATTGTGTATACGTGCCGCGCTTATATTCTCTCAACATGTGTTGTTTTACGACTGATATTATCTTCCAAGGTTGGACGCGCAGTTTACGGAAATGCATTCCACGTTTTCGCGGGATTAAATCTGCGACGTGAAGATACATATGTGAACTTTGAAATTTAAAAATAAACCCTGAAAAACCTAATCCCTCTCGAGATATTTACGTCATGGTTCGGGCAAAATATCTTTCTTTCTTGTTTTTCGATAAATTTAATTAATTGTAAATATTCAATTAATAATTGATAAATATTTATATGTCGTGTGTATTTTTTATATAAATATATCTGTGGAAACATTCTATCTCCCGTAATAAAACCGCTTAATCTCTCTGATTCTACATTATGATTTGCAATTTAACCGCGATTTATTAGTAATTTTCGTAATCATCATTGGTTGTCATTATAGTCTATTATTTCGTAGTTTATTGTTTTGTAGTCTGTCATTGAAATATCGTTTTCTGCAGTGGTGTTAAATATGAATATGTATTAAGTTCATGGAAACGATACATGTGTTTGTATAAGATCTTGATTTTGTCTATTCTATATTACGATTTGTATTAGTAAATTGATCGTGATCTATTCGTGATATACTAATCACTTTTGTAGATTATTGTTGGCAGCAGGAAGAATTGCAAAAAATTCGAAACATACCTATATCGACCTTAAAATTATTTTATACAATTAATTAGATCTCTTAGTCTCAAAATTGAATATTTATAATATTTCAAATGTTTAAATATTCTCAGTCAAATTGTTTCATTTCAGAGTTCTTTGTGGTGAATATATTTAAGTCACGATCCATTGCAACTTTGACGCTACAACTTCAACTGTGCCAAGTTTTTTTTGGAGAACAAAAGCTTGTTTCTGAAAGTCATTTGATCAAAAATATAAAAAGTATTTTTTAAAAAATAAATTAAAGATTAATAATTCAGTGAATAAAATAAATATTCATAGAAATAGAATTCTACAAATATTCTATTTCTATGTATATTTATTTTATTCACTGAATTATTAATCTTTAATTTATTCTTTAAAAAATAGGTACTTTTTATATTTTTGATCAAATGACCTTCAGAAACAAGCTTTTGTTCTCCAAAGAAAACTTCGCGCAGTTGAAGTTGTAGCGTTGAGGTTGCAATGGATCGTGACTTTCGGGAAGTACTTTTTGTTCTCGCATAGAAAAGAAACGGACAAAGAATTTTCCCACAGGTTATGCACATCTTGGCACATTTGCAAGTCGAACTCGCGACGCTACGTTTATCTGATTAGTCCAGGTTTCCG